CTGTATATTTCTTGTTGATGTAATCTACTTTTATGTCTCGCTCTAGTTACCCGCTGACGCTAGGCCCGAAGAGAGGTAAGTGGAAACCGTTTCACCTGATCTTTCTCGAAGGTCTGTTGAGCAACGTTCCTGGAGGCCGGTCCGTTCGAAGCGGTCCATCCAAGGACCTGAAGACTTGGTTTGTTCAGCACGCGCCTTCCCCAGGGCTCTCAACACTTCTCTAAGGAACGATGGCTGGGCACCCTAAGCAAAGGTAAATAATTTTGAGCTGTCGTAGACCGGTTGACTGACATCGAGTACAAGGCGGGACTTCACGCAGGGAGAAAAGCAGCTGCTCACATCTTCCTTAAGCGATCCTCAAGTGCAAGCCATACTCAGCGAGGGTCGGCGGGAGAAGACCAAGAAACACAACAAGGGGTACAAGGATGGGACGCTGAAGGACGCAGCCGCGTGTCTGCAGAGACTCGTTGAAGAGCAGGCAGGAGTCGAGCAGGGGGAGGACGAAACGGTAGAGGAGTATCATCAGCGTATCTGGGCTTGCGCTGAGGCAGAGAATTGCGTGTGGCTCCCGGCGGAAGCTGACGAGGACCGCGAGGCGTACTTGGACCGTTTCCGAACGACAGGTAGGGTAAGTTACCCTCTTTGTTGCTCAGTAAAGTCGGCTGGTAACTGGCTCGAACCAGCGAATCCACAAGTGGGTCAAGAACAACGCGAACGGACGCAGTGTCATCGCATTGCCCCCGTGGCCTGTCGCTCGGAAGTCGCGTACACTTCGCGGCGTCGGCGTCTTCTCCAAGTCAGACCACCCATCCCGTCCTCGGACAAAGAGTGAGCTGCTGGAGGTGAATCCCGATGCAGCTAAATCCTGGCATGTTTCGACCTGGAACAAAGCGGTAAAGGCTGCTTGGGAGCTTCTTCCTGAAGCAGAGAAGGCTCGCTACGACAGTCTTGCCGCCGAAGAGGAAATGAAGAGGAATGAAGAGGGTATAGATGGTGCAACAATCGAGACCGAACGAATTCGTCGAGAGTAAGTCTGACGTTTGTGACATGGACAGCACGGCATGCTGAAGCGTGTGTCATAGGGCCGTAGAACACGTCGGCGACCACGTTCGGGACTGCGCCAAACAGTGGAATGAGAGGACGGGATGTCTTTCTCTGACTTTCGTTGGGGGCCTTGACGAGCTGGGCCAGCCCCGTTGCTGGGTGTATGTTGATCACTTCGCTCTCTACTTGCTTATTAATGTAATCTGCACGTACAGAGAACCTTTCGGCACTGACAAGTCGGGGCAGAACTTCCTGCAGAGGCTGGCGGCACGAGTGGGTTGGCCGGAGGAGAAGCTGGGGACAGTATTTTACGAGTGGATTCTAGATGCGATGCATGACGGTACGTATGTGTTAACCCCGTCGCATATGACGCTCTGACACGCCCGCAGACGAGACCCCTGCGGCGGGTGACAAGACGGGGTCTCAAGGTGGCGATATCTCCACGACGATGGAGGCGGCTTCTACGACAACGAACGGTACGCGATCTCACTTGCACCTAGTGCTCTTCCGGGTTACTGATCTTCCTGTCGTAGAACCTGCTGAGTTGGATTTACCGATCCCCCAAGACTTGGACGCGGGTCATGGCTCCGACTCGCCCGGCAGCATTTCGTCAAGAGAGGGAGCAGATGAAGAATCCACTGTAGAGAACGAGCTGGGTATCGCCGCGACGACTTCGGAATCTGAGCCTATTGCAACTGTCGAGGAAGAGGGTTTGACTCCATCCGGCGATATCGGTGAAATGAGAGATGATGTACCCACCGTCTCCGACGAGGGAGGTGAGAGGCGCGATCTCGCTTATATCCTGTACCGAGCATGTCGAGCTATAGGTCTGGATCCATCCTACCCGGCACCAGTATCCGATGCATCAAACGAAGACACTGGTAACACCGATGATGATGAAGCCGAGATACCTGCGGGTCGTGCTAACAAGAGGCCGGCCTCCTTCACTGCGGGAGGTCGCCGTCCGAAGCGGCCTACACTTACACCAGCCGGACGCACGGTGAAGTTAGCGTCAGTCAAGAGGATAGGTCGAGGATCTTTGCGACGCGCTCAAGGCGAGAAGGCAGACTCAGCGGGACCGAGAACAAGTTTCATGAGCACTACACTCTCTGGCGTTCACACCAATAGTTCCTTGGAGAAAGGTGGCCCCATGGGCGCAGACGGTGCTCAGACAAGTGTGATTGGAGACGTCGGCCGTCGCTCAAGCCGGGTGCGAAAACCTAGTGAGAAGGCCCGTGAAGTGTAAGATCTGTTTTCGGCTGGCTCATC